ACAGAGTGCCCCATGTGTTGAGCAGACCCACCCTACAGAGAGGTCTGCTGCCTCCCTGGGGCCTGGGTACGGGATATCACTGAGAGACTTGCTGGGCTGATTCAGCCCTCTGATTATTACCCACTGCTGATACTCCAGGCTGGCAGAGATGAGATTGAAAAGAGGAGTGCCAGGGCAGTTAAAATGGACTTTAGGGCACTGGGTCAAGTGGTTGATAGGGCAGGAACACAGGCAGTCTTTTCCTCAGTCCCTTTGGTGGCAGAAAAAAATGGTGAAAGGAATAGGAGAGCCCACATTATCAGCAAGTGGCTTAAGGGTTGGTGTCATCGGCAGAATTATGGGTTCTTCTTTTTCATGGCCATTTTATGGCATCTGGCCTGCTGGAACTGGATGGGCTGCATCTCTCTATTAAGGGCAGAAGGATTTTAGCTCATGAGCTGTCAGAATTCATTGAGAGGGCTTAACTAGGTTTGAAGGGAGAAGGGGATACAGCTGGGCTGTCTGGAAGCAGGCCCAAGGGTGGAAAGCTTGAATTAGAGGTGAAATCAGTAGCCCAGCTGAGGTGCACACAGCATGGGTAACAAACAAGAAGAGCTGGAGGCCGTGGTGCAACAGCAAAGCCATGATGTAGTCACCAAAAGTGGGGGGATGACTCAGATAGCTGAGTGCTGCACTGGGTGGCTACAAGCTCTTCAGAAGAGACAGGAAAGGGAGAAGAAAGGAGTGGCCCTTTATATCAGGGAGGCTTTTGATGCCATAGGTATTGAAACTAATGACAATGAAGTTGAATGCCTATGGGTAAGAATTAAGGGGAAGCTCCACAAGGTTGACATCCTACTGGGAGTCTGTTACCATCCACCCGACCAGGAAGAAGAGGTGGACAACTTTTTCTGCTAGCATCTGGAGAATGTTACAGGATCACCAGTCCTTGTTCTTGTGACTTCAACCTACCAGAAATCTGCTGGTAACTTAATACAGCAGGAAAGAGGCAGTCCAGGAAGTTTTTAGAGTGTGTGGAGGACAACTTTTTGTCGCAGCTGGTGAGTAAGCCCACCAGGGGAGGGATTATGTTAGACCTGTTGTTTGCAAACAGAGATGGGCTGGTGGGAGATGTGGTGGTTGGAGGCCACTTGGGGCACAGTGATCATGGAATTATAGAATTGTCAATATTTGGTGAAATCAGGAGGAACACCAAGAAGACTTCTACACTGGACTTCCAGAGGGCAGACTTTGGCCTATTTAGGAGACTTATTCAAAGAGTTCCTTGGGAAGTAGCCCTTAAAAACAAAGGAGTCCAGGAAAGATGGGCGTGCTTCAAAACAGAGATCTTGAGGGCACAGGAATAGACTGGCCCTGTGTGCCGAAAGATGAGCTGACAAGGCCAGCCTGGATGGGCAACAAGGTTTTGAAGGAACTTCAAAGGATAATAAAAAATGTTTTTACAAATATATTGTAAATATAATGGTAAAAGGAAGGGTAAGACCAACCTTTGCTCCTTATTGGATGAGGGAGGGAACTTAGTAACTGCAGATGAGAAGGTGAAGGTGCTTAACGCCTTCTTTGCCTCAGTCTTTAGTAGAAAGTGGCTTATCCTCAGGACAGCTCTCCTCCTGGTTAGATGGTGTCAGGGAGCAGAATGGTCCCCCTGTTATCCAGGAGGAGGCAGTCAGAGAACTGCTGAGCCACTTGGATGTTCATAAATCTATGGGGCAGATGGGATCCAGCCAGGGTGATGAGGGAGCTGGCAGGTGAGCTTGCAAAGCCGCTCTCCATCATTTACCAACAGTCCTGGCTCACTGCTGAGGTTCCAGATGACTGGAAACCGGCCAGTGTGACACCCATTCTCAAAAAGGGTGGGAAGGAGAATCCTGGTAATTATAAGCCAGTCAGCCTGACCTCAGTACCTGGTAAGATAATGGAGCAGTTTATACTGAGTGTCATCACTTACAGGATTGCCACGGTATCAGACCCAGCCAGCATGGGTTTAGGAGGGGCAGTTCGTGTTTGACCAACCTGATCTCCTTTTATGACCAGGTGACTCACCAGTGGATGCGGGAAAGGCTGTGGGTGTTGTGTACCTGCACTTCAGCAAGGCCTTTGACACTGTGGATCCCCAGGGGCTGTGCGTGGATCTCTGCATCCCTATGGATCTCTGCTTCCCCTGTGGATCCTCAGGGGCTGCAGGGGCACAGCTGCCTCACCATGGGTCACCACAGGCTGCAGAGGAATCTTGGCTCCGGTGCCTGGAGCACCTCCTGCCCCTCCTTCTGCACTGACCTTGGTGTCTCTGTGTTGTTTCCCTCACATGTTCTCACCTCCTCTTCTCTAGATGGAGTTCAAGCTATGCCCCCACTTTGTTTTGATTTTCTTCCTAAATATGTTTTCAGAGAGGTGTTACCATCATCTCTGACTGGCCCAGCCTTGGCCAGAGGCATGTCCATCCTCAGAGCCATCAGGGATTGGCTCTGCTGGACACGGTGGAAGCTCCCAGCAGCTTCTCACAGCAGCCTCTTCTGTGGCCCCCCTGCTACCGAAAACCAGGCTGTGCAAACCAACCAGTGTAATACTTGTAATTACAAGTGTGATACTGTCTTGTCTCATCACTTCTCACAAATCCTTGGTGGCTCTACCAAGAACTGCTGATCACTCTAGAGTTTCACACTATGATGACATGCATATTTGTCTTCAGACCTGTCTGCCTTTATTTAAGCTATTTTATTTAAATTATGATAAAGTAAATGAGCTTCAGAAATACTATTCCTTGTGACATTTGGTTGTCACATAATGCTGTTAAACTCTCCTTAACTGCACCTCCTAGAATTATCCTCAGTTTTTGGTGTTCTGAAGCTGAAAAGATTGAACTGCCAAAACATGCAAAATGCCTCTAACTGGATTGGTTTCTAGTGGCTTTTCTTTCTCTTTCAGTGCTAAAAGATTATTTTCTTTTTATTTTTAACTATTTCTTAAGTGCAGAAGTGATGGAGATACATCATCTAAGTTCTTCCTTCTAGCTAGCTTTTGAGATACTGGATTTTGATTTGATTAGGCAGTGGTATTGCCTGCTAGGCAATTTAGCTCTTAAAATTATCAACTCTGTTAGTAATTTTAGCAGGACTTTTCTGTTGTTTTGGGTTTTTTTTCCTTTATGTTTAAATGTTGGATGTTTTAATGAAAAACATATTTTCTTTTTTTCAAAAGAATATTTATATGTGTAATGCTAGTATTTAATGTTTTTTCTAGTCATAAAATCAATGGTCAGCAATAAGCATTATATTGTGTGCTTTCTGTACACAGAAATATACTAAAACCAAGTGGTTTAATGCAAGATGAAACACATACAAAGCATAAGATTTATATTTCATCTGAAAGAGTTTTACAGGAAAACCAATTCTTTCAGCTGTAATAAAAGAGAGAATCAGCTTCTTTCCTGTCAGAAGGAACTGGAGAGAAGAACCTGTCTAATCATCAATTCTATTTGTACAACACTTGGCACACTTGCAAATGTGTTTACTTTTGCTGATCTGAAAAAATTCCAGTATTTTACTGTCCAAGTATGTCAAATGGGTTCATATATATTTAAAATACACTCATATGTATTTAAAGTATCTATAACAGGATTTTTGTTACGCCAAAAAAGTGTTCCTGAGCCACAAAAGAACTTTTTCATCCTTGGGACATAACTTTTTCTCATTTTTCTTCCTGTGGAAACTGAGTATGGAGAATCACCCAGGGATTTGATTAAATGTTAGGTCATTTAAAGTTTAACATCATATTTTAATGATAGGCAAATGGCAAAGCAAGAGTAGCATTTTGGAACAAAGCCTTAGGAGTGTCACTGTCACGGTGCTGCCCTTTGAACCACGTATTAAAACCTACTCTAAAACCAGAGCTACGAAAATGGGCAGCAGGTGTGGCAAAAGTACAGTTCTAAGACATTCCCAGGTCACTTCAGTAGAGGAACAGTTAAGCCAGTATTTAGAGATCTGAAAATCTTGCTTCTGTTTCTAAGGAATTACCAATACAAAAACTTTTCTTGTGAAGCTGCTTATTTTTACAAACTCTTAAAACATACTCAAAAGGGCAATTAAAACCAGATGAGGATAATATTCAGTTCTGAGATTGTATTTTTCATTTTCAGAGACACTTATATTAAAAAATAGGACATGAAAGGCTTCATGTTCCAAACCTGCCTTTAAAAACATGGAAAGCTCTGGGTATAGCCATGCTCGATGCTCTGCCAGAGTCCACACACCTGCAGATCTGAGTTTGTGTGGAAATGAGAGGAGTGTGTATGCCTAACTTACCTGAAGGGGTATTTCAGACCTGACATTTCAAATTAGGTTTTTTTCAAATTCAAGGAAGATATGGGACAGGACTGGTTTAGAGATAGACCACCCCCATGACCATTTCACATATTAATGAAGTTATTTAAGGCTCTGCTTAAAAATAGTGTCTGGTTGTTATGTTGAGGCATGGAGTCCTAAAATAATCAAGTTGAAAAAGCCAGGAGAATGAAAGGATTCAAAGGTGTAGCTCTTGTTAAGTCTCTGGGCAGAGACCAAAAGATAGTGTGCTGTTAAGAGAGTAGTTCTGTTAATCAGTGTCATAAAGACTGATTTGCTGAAGTTGTATCTTGATGTACTGGTAATATTGTTGAGTTTCATTCCTATTAAAGGGAAGTAATTCAAGTACATCCTAAAATCTCACTTGCTCAGCTACTTTGGTGGTTTCCTATAATCAGGGTAATACCTGAGTGCACTGAGATTCTGCCAGTGCTTAGTCTGCAGAATTTTTAACTTTGCACTGTACTGCAGAACGTGGCTTTGAAAGCTGTACCTTTTTGCACCTGTCCCTGAACATCATGGGTGTGATTGGAAGTGCTGTCCCCACCCTCTCCTGAATAAAGCCATTCTGCTGGCCTTACCCTGAAGGAAAATGCTGCAGGAACTTTTCTGGACACAAACATTATGTATTTCTTTTAATATTTTAATTTGGTTTTCTGCTCTTTTTGTTAACTTTGATCAAAGCAAATGAAATTCTTTATTACTTCTAATACTACAATGATAATTACATGTTTTTTGTATTGTTACAGTTTCCTGGTACCATTTACATTTTGTTATGAAAACAAAGCAAAACCAAAAAGCTGATCCAGCAAGTTATATGTAAATCCAAAATAAAACCACATCATAGTAATACATACCAGTATAACGTTAATGTGCAATATTGTGAAAAATGAACAAATCTGAAAGCTAAGACAAATGCATGTCAATAATCTAAAGGCATACACAATAAACACTGCTTCAGAGAATACTTGGGGTAGCTTTTGAAGCCACTGAATCTGAAGCAAGATGAACAAAACAGGAGAGCTGCATCCTGTGCTGGCAGCTCACACCCTTGGCAAACCCATGGCAGGAGCTTCCCAACACCTCCAGGGATGCTGACAATCTACACAGTGGACAGTTGTGCATTCAGGCACCAGCTGTTGTCATGAGGATGTTTCAGTCTTGTCTGTTTCACAAGCAAATTCTTACCTGTCCTTGAGATGACAAGATTATTGGCACACAATCTAGTATAAGCACAGCCTTGCATCTTAGGAAGTCAAGATGCTTCCTCATGAGATAAAGTGCAAGCTACGCTTTTTTTTCAGCTTGGATCATGCTTCATCTGGTGTTTTAGGGGAAAATTTACTGAAACTTGTCCTTTTAGTTTTAGCAAGCACTGTCTTGCTGTTCACTTCTTTCATGGCATTGTGTCTGCCTGTGCTGAACACCAAGCTTACCAGCTGCTTATCCTGTTAATTGTTGTCTACATGTTAAAGCTGTATCACATTTTGTCTTAAGAAGGAACAGCCTTTTCTTCAAAAAGCAATGTAATATTTTAGGTTAGATTTACACTATTCACAGTACAAGCAGAGAATATGCTGTTGTAATTCTGATGACCTTAAAAGTACAGTTATATTGAAGACAGTAAACATTCCATTACACCTTGTGTTGCTGAAAAAGTCAAATTCAGGCACCAAGTTCTCTTTCTTGGATGAGGTGCAGATTTGTATCACTGACATTCTTGCTGAATTTCATTTTTAGTAGGTGATGAAGTTTTCACATCACAATAGCTAAAATCATAAACTAGGTCCTTCTGAGAGTGTGGTTCATGAACTGTGACAGCACTCCACATGTTGTTCTTCCTCAGGGATTTATGTAAGACTTCTCTCATTCTCCTGTTTTCTTTGGCTGTGGATTCCCACATGATTTCAAGTTCCCCTTCTCTTTTCCTAGGAAAAAAATGAAGAGAAATCCCAACTTTAACAATGTTCCAGCAGTACAGAATTATAGTAATGTGGATAAGCAAATTAGAAACGGCCTGTATTTAGGTGCTTGAAATTATCTGATTGAAATTCATTCCTATTTTGCTTTTAAAAAAGCTCATTAAATGTAATGCTGAATAGGGTATGACCAGAAAATTACCCATGTAGAACCAGCCATTACTGGACCTATGTAACAAGCTGGATTAGTCTGCACATAGAGCATGTGAGCCCCAAACATTGTGATTGCCACTCTGCACTGACTCGGCTCCCTGGTGACCACAGCTCTGCTTCCTGCAGAGCCCAAAGGGTCTGAGCAGCATCAGTGCTCAGCTGATGCAGCTTTGAGAGCCAAACAAAAATGGTATAAACTTAGGAGGCAGACAAAGCCCAAGAGCTTGGGTTTCCTTTGACTCCTAGTGTACGTCAAAATACAAAATAATAAGGAAATTAAGGTCAATTGATGTGGAAAGCATAGCTGTTGCATGGAAAATGAGCACACGTATTTTAATACTATAGACTAATGCATGAAGCACTGAATAGAACTAGCCTTCTACACAAACTGTCCCCAATACCAGGCTCTAAAAATGAGAAACAAATCAATGCAGAACATAAATGAGATTAAATTCCACAGTCTACACCAGAAAATATAGAATCAGTACATCTTACAGAATCCTTTGTGGTTGAGAACACTGAGAATGAAGTGATGAGAAGTGGCCCAGACATAGTACCAGCCTAATTTGTGTTTCACCTTATGACTGGATATATAGATAGAAGATTAAAAAAAACCTTACAGAGAAGGGCTTAAGATTATTCCTGTACATACTGCTTGGAATGAACTTTTCTGGTGGAGAACATCAGTAACCATGGAGAATGGAATTAAAGCAAAAGGTGGCAGTGAAAGCAGTACAGTTGGCTAATAGTTCAAGGCTGCCCAAGAATGTGAGCAGCCACAGATAATGAGTCGGACCTTTCCAATTCTGACAAGTCACTAAAAAGCCATTAAGTAGCTATCTCTCATTTTTGAAACACCAAAACTGTAGATGACTTTGTTCTCATTTCTCCTTGAGATGGGATAAGATTGTCTAATACTACCAGTGCTCAGAATATGCTTCAAAATGTTTTACACAATGGCATTTACCTCAGCCTACATTTGGGAGAGATGTGAGACATACACATCTCATGGCTGAACTGCCCCAACTGGCAGTCCTCAGTTTCACTCATTGGCTGACCTCTGTATTGTGATCTTGGAACATTTTCAGCACCTTGTTTTTAAGTGAACTTGTATATCTTGATAGGGACACACCCCTGGTTCTCTGTTGTCCCTTGTGTCCAATACAAGTCTTCAAGCACTGTGCACAGCACTCTTATGTTTGACAATTAATACTGGAAAGCTTAATCTGGTTTATCATTATTGTAGTACAGATCATTACCCAGGGTTTATTTCATCTGCTAATTTCTGAAATCAAGACTTCTCTGGCTTTTTTAGGTCATTTCGCTGTTAGTGCTTGCATGAGTCTGAGGCATAGAATATTTGAAGTACAACTATGAAACTAAAGATCAGCAAGTTCTAAATTATAGTTTAATGCTGTCAGTATGCCTGACATATAGGATTGCCATTTTCACTCCATATGTTCAGTTTAAAGGCAACTACATTGCTTTTAGAAAAAAAAAAAAATAGTTCAAAGAGGTTGGTTTAAAAGTGTATTCATGGTTAAAACTACTTCAGCAGCAAGAAAATACATGTCTTTAGAGGTTTATCACTCTTCTTGGAGGAGTGATTTTTAAGCAGAGCTGACATGCAGAGAGTGCTGGCTTGGCTTTGCAATGAGCATTCAGAGAACACTGCTGTCAGGAAAGGGCAGTGCAGCTGCCCCTGCTGCACACACAGCACGCTGTGTAAGGCTTTGCAGTGTGGCACAAGGTACTGCTTCATAGTCCAGCTGTTTTCCAGGTGAGCATCTGAAGAAGAGGTAACATCCCAAGTGTAGCTACACATGGGGATGTTGTTTGAAAATTCTGACCCGATTGAAATTTAAAAATGCATTCAGCAGAATGGGTTGGGAAGAGGGTATCTTCTTGCTAATCACAATCTCCCTCTGTAATTTGGATTACACAGCAGCTTGGCTACTGCAGCTGCTGATGCTCTGTACGTTTTTCCCAACACCAAAATTTCCTTGCCTGTACAGCTGGTTTGCCTCTTAAAACACAAGTCTTTGCCATTTGGTATTTAAAACTAGATACGTGCTCAGTTTAGATACATATGCTGTTTCCAGATGTCTTTAGACAAAAGGCATTAAATTAATTTCTTATTAATGTAGGCTATTATTAATACCTAGCCAAAACGTAAGATTTTATAACTTTTTGAGAGTTAGCAAAATGCCAGTGCCCCACTAATGTTTGAAGATGAAAAAATCACTAGAAGTAGGTTCTGAAAGCAGGTTCTTCTTTAAAAAAGACAGTTTTCTGCCCTCATTGAACTAAATTCATTCAGCCTTAATCTCAGAATCTTATTTGGGCTGGCTCAAGAATTCATTTTCATCTATCCTGTAGCAGTTTATTTAAATATTCCTTATCACAAAGATCAACTGTTTTTATTATGGTTATAATTTCGTATGTCACCTCAGGTAAGACAGCTCCTCCCCCTTGCCTATGCTCAATTGCAAAGCTTTTCAAGCTTTGAGCTTGAAGCTTTTCAAGCTCTTCCAAGGACAGTTTAATGCACTTTCAGACTTACATTCTGCATCCAAAGCACAGCAGCTGTAACTACCTTGAGGTTCTGTTTCTCTGCAGAAGTCTTGCGAAATAAACTCTGACCTAGAAAACTCATAAAGGTAAGTGTCCTGTCAAATAAGACTGGAAACATTTATGAACCTGTTTACTCCAGGATCACATAATGAATTTTGTTTATATCTCAAATCTCTTATTTAAGAAAATGTATGTGATATTGGTATCTCTCAAGATTACCCAGTGACTAATAATGTCATTATCAGCTGCCTGAAGAACGAAGTGTTATAATACAAAGGCTGTAATTACTGGGAAGGCTCTACAGAGCAGCTTCCAGGAAGGGAAATCTGTGTATGTTTAAAAGCTTCAAAAGCTTTTACTTATCCAAAGTACAACTGTATTTATATCTGTTTCTTTTTTGAAATCCAAGTAGAAAAATTCTCATCCCTTGGATGCAATGGCTAAGTAGTGGAACTGATTTTTGTTATGAAGTGAAAGAATGCAGGAGAGGAGGAAATTTCAAGGGCAAGTCATCTCTGCTACATTTGATGAAAGCCCATGCTAGTTTGGATGTAGACTTGTTAAAAACAGAATGAGAGAAAAGCACATGAATCCATCTCTTTGTCACATGCATTACTTTGAGCATGCTGAGACTGCAGCAACTCTGCCTCCGGGCACACGGGCTGTGCAGTGTGCTGTGACCTGCCACCACTCCAGATAATGCTTATCTCTGCAGGGTCTCACGGAAAGAACCGTGCTCTTTCCACATCTGAAGTGGGATTTTCCTTTGCTTTACAAGAAAACTTAACAGCAACACTAGGTACAGTATGCTTTTATGATAAAGAATTTCATGGTGGTAGTTAAGTCACACTTTCCCCGACTTCCTAACTCCTTATTATTAAACTAAATGCAAGAGCAAAAGAAATAATATGAAACAGATTTCTGTCTTCACCTGCTTACAGTGATTCATCATACCTTCAGCTAGATTTTTAAAGTGTCTTTTCTGCTTAAAATGTGGCATACTACTCTGATTTTCATTATTTAAGAGTGAAATTAGAGAAAAAATTAGAAATTAGAGAATAAATATTTATTGTATGCACTTATCTTAATGTCTGTGTAGGCATTTTGTACAGAAACATTATCAGCTGGAGAGTATTCTGGACTAAAATCTAGTCTGTAAACACAGCTAGTCACAATAAATCTAAATGTTTGGTACTCTTCTAGCATTAGCAACTTTGGTTGCCAAGCTACAGATGATGAGCAACATCTGAACTACAAATAATTTTCCCTTCCTTACTCCTGTGACTATGTGGAGTGAAGGGAGAGCGAAAATAATAATCCTTGTAAAATTAGAAATACTCGAAGCTGACCAAAATACATGTTTTATTTCTGGCTGACAGGCATAATAGAGTGGATACGTATTTGGATTACCTTGGGAAACTACATTATATTGCAGTACTTGAGAAGAATAATGGAATATGAAGTAACTTGGTCATATGAACAGTATCAGCCACGGTGTTAGTTGGTTTTATTGGTTTTGTTTGATAAGCATAAAAATTTATTATTTCTTATATAGGTGTAGAATTCAGCTGATTTCTCAGTAACATTTATTTTAATCTTCATTTTTTAATACAGTAATCAAAGGAAAATAGTGAATCATGAGGATAACCAAAATACTGCTTCAAAGATGACTGTAAAAATTCTTCTGTACTTTTAGAGTTGTGTTCATTATATTATATTCTAATAATCACTATTAAGACTTAAGAACCACCAGAAAAAATAACTCACTTGTTATACTGTTCAATAATGTTGGAAACTACAGAAATGAAAGACATCTTGATGGGGTTCATCTTGGGCTTGTTTCCATAAACCACTTTTCTTCATCATCATACAGTTAAATGGACTACAATGTGTAATTTCAGGATCAGATCTTGTTTCTTAAAAGGTAGCTGCAAGTATTAATTGAGTGTATTTACTGAAGAAAAAATTAATTAATTTAGACTGAAAAGGTAAAAGTGATTTAGTATACTGTATGGAAAGTATAATTGATTATTTTACACATCTGTGTTATATCTAATTTTCCTGCTTTGGGGCTAGAAGGGTAAATTTTGAATGATCCATATTAATGCTGTTCTCTACAGTAAAAAATTGTAACATGAACCCAGAGATATGGAAGTAATTTAATTAGTTAAAAATTCTAAATAACTATTTCCAGAGAAATGTGTATCAGTTCAATCTGGTTTTTAATGCAAATTTCAGAGATTAATGGAATGTTCATTGTACAACTCTGCTACTTACACCTGTTTAATTGCACTGTATAAAGTAACTGAGAGGGACTGTGCTGATATAAAGTAGATGATACCAAGCCCTGTTTTTCTATTGTCTGTTAAAATCTATTTAAATCTGTTATTTCACAATGGCAGTGATGACTTGAAAAATGAGTGCTTATTACTTCTTTTCTATTGTAAACAGTTTTTCTTTTATGCTGATAATGTGAACATGCTATGAAGCTTTCCACTATCAGAGGGAAAAAATACCTTCGAAGGACTCTATATGTAAAGGATATGTCAACACTTCAGTCCTAATCTTCTATAAATCTGTTAATTTTCTTCTCTTTATTTTGCACATAGCCAATCTAAGTCACTTATTATTAGATCAGTAAGACAGATTTGAAAGCAAACAGGTCTTTGGTGTACTCATTCCATTCCCTTCCTGCTGAAAACTGTTGAGAGGTGTGAATGGGTAAGTGTTCAACCTTTAGCAGAAGGTGCTATTAAGATAAATTAAATTATTAATTAATTATAAATTAATTATAAATTAAATTATTAAGATAAATATATATAGATTTATAGAATCCTTTCAGATTCTCAAAGATTTGCTGAGATTGATATCCTTCTCAGATTGATACCCTTCTTAACAAGTCTTAAGAACAGCAGTAGGCATATAGAATAAATTCCTCCTTCCAAAGATGTTTCCAGGAGCTGGGGATCACGAGCAGGGTTTCAGCATTTTCAGCACAGCTAAAACGAGCGAGAAAAGCGACTCAGAACATACCACAGGAGACTCTGCTGGAAAGTGAGTGCTGGTGGCTTTCTGTAGGTGCTTTCCCTTGTCCCTTTACCTGTAGGACCTACTTGGATTGCTCCTGCCTGTGCCCCACTCACCTGTTTTGCTCCAGCACTTCATTGAGGGTTTCTTGTTTATCTTGCAGCAGACGCTGCAGGTGCTTCTTTTCTTGCTCATACTGAGCAGTTTTCCTTTCAAATTCTTTCTCCTGCTCAGTCATCTTGAGACTGATATCTCCAAGCTTCCCAGCTGCTTTCTTTTTATATACCTATAAGGGTTAAAATTAATAGAAAGAAGTGGGATTATAGGAGAAAGAAGGACTAAAGACAAGTCATTGCCAACAAAAGAAACTGTTAGAGATACTGATTTTCAGTTGAGTCTTTACATTAATGCTGCCTTGTTCAATTATGTCAGGTAGGTTGCATTAAGGGATATTTTTAACCTATTTGGTAATTTGGAGGTATTACACTTCATTTTGTTCTGCAGCTAAAACTAGTGTGTGTAATGAATACCATACTGTATGTTTGTTTTATTGAACACAATTACTTGCAAAAAAAAATTTGTTTTCCAATATACAAAGCTACACTTTACAGCACATGTTGCTTACCAGTTGTTGAACAGTCATAATTATCAGCACATACCATGAAAAAGTGTTTCTGTTTTGTTAAATCTTAATACAAGAGGAAGAAAAGAATAGCTTTGCTTGCTGCTTCACATAACAGTCCTCTTGTTCAGTGAAGCACACATGATTTTTTGATTGTGGCTATAATAACTAAATGGTAACTAATGACTGGTCTCACCTCAAAAGTAAGAAATGATTTTGTACAAAGTAACTTTGCTTCCTGAAATAACATCCCCATTAAATTGCATAAGCACACAAGGAACTGAAAACTGGTTTGTGTATTGTTACACATTTCTAGATGCTGCTGCTCTTGACAATACCAAAATCCAATATTAATTTATTTTCTACTGATTACAAATAGAATGCTAAAACTGTTATATTCTCTGCATACTGTGATGTTTCCTACAGGCTACAGAACAGAGTTTTGGGATGAAAACACCTTTAATAAAACTGTCAACTAATTTAATGAAGCTCTGAAAATACTGCTATTTATGTCTTGCTAATATAAAGTTTTAGCTCAGGTGCTAATCACTAAGGTTTTATCTTCATCTGAATCAGGAGAGAAAGATTTGAGTTTGCCTTTTGGAGGAATTTTTAAAAAGGCATTTTTAGATGTGCTGTATATAAGGCTATATAATCCTTTCCAGTTTCCTTTTCAGCTCTTGCAAAATGTATCATTGTAAAGTTTAATTTTCTAGAGGTAATAGGATAATAACAGATAATATTTACCAAGAATATTAGAAATTCACTATTTAAGGCTGACTTACATAGGGTTTTTATCCTAACTTTTCCCTGATGATTCTAATAGAATAAGAAGCCTGCAAGTTAACCAGTAACATCACTAAACTTTTTAGATTCCCAGAGAAGTCTTCAAAATGCAGAGTAATGTTACAGAAGGCTAAAAGTAAACAAGTTCCTTCTGAACAGAAGGTTACTCAGCCAGCCTGGAGGAAGTGCAGAGTATAGAGAAACAGCTGAACCTTCCCCTCTGTCGGTAAAAGCTCCAGCACGTGTCAGGTCCAGTCCGGGTGTGGGACCTGAAATGCCCTCTGTAGGTTAGATGCCTATAATCATTTCAAACAAGAGAAAACTTCCTCTCTCAGTTTTATCAGGGAGAAGGCTGGTGAATTGTAGCGTTGGTGAAACCCTGTTTCCCAGCACGTGGTCACTGACCATCCAGCTACAGGCTGGTCTGTGTTTTAAGCTGAGATTTGTGTTTTAAGCTGCACTCTGCCTGAGATGCTTCAGGCCTCTGGCTCCTCCATACCCCACAGCTGCCTCTGTTGGCTCTGCACTCCAGCTCTACCTTTGCCAACTGAACCTGAGTCCCATGTGCAGAATGGTTGCAAAATCAGAGGACAAAAGTGCACCTTTTTTGCCATATGATTATAGTCTGAAACCAGGTATGAGTTCTGACCTTGCCTCTATGGATGGATTATAATTAAGTCTGTGTAAAATGCAGCCTGGGCAGGCTGGGATGGTTCTGGGCACACTGACACCTGCAGCTGCTGGCACTTACAGATCTTTCACAGCAGGCTGCTACCTTTGAATTGTTCAAGATAACCTATTAATGTTCTCTGAAGTGAAGCAGGTAGCAAACAGAGTGGTGTAGATGATAGATTTCAGGAAGATGATGTTAACATATAGCTGGAAGTCATAATACTTTCCTCTAGAGCTGGATAGGGTATGCCCAAGGTCATGGCATCCCACGTACACAGTAAGAATGATCATGGATGCAGGTGCTGGTACTGAAGAAGACTGAAGAGGCCAACTGATGAACAATTTTTAAGTAAGCTTTAATATTTTTCATTATTCAGTCTGCCTGAAAAAAGTATCTGGCATAAGTACATAAAAGTAGAAATGAACTTAAAAATGTTTTCAGAACTCAAATGCCAAAGTAAGTTTTGTTTCCTTAACACAATTCCTGCACAAAAATTATTTGTTTTGTATTCAATCTATTTGACACTGCTCTATTACTCTCTAAATTTCATGTGGTTGTACTGGTCATCTACAAAGTGTTTTGCACAGTGAATGAATTTATAAAGTTTGTTTACAGTAATTTCCAAATCCCAAACTAAAAATGGGTATTTATAAAAACAATCACTTTTAATTTGCTACATAACTTTAGCATAAACAGTTGAAAATATGTCATAAAGTAATGTACACAATTATGGACATAGTTTGGGGTTTTATTTTAGCAATAACCTGTTTAGCTTCAAAGATTTTTGTCTTAATTCATAGATCTGCCAAATCTTGATTTATTTTAAGATTTCTCAAAGAAAAACAAAAACCATAGAATTTTCTTAATTTACTTTCTCCAAAAGAGTTAATTAAAAGGGAGAACTATGTATGAGAACACCAGATCCACTTTTATGAGTGGATCTTTTATGACTTTTTTATAATTTCCATTAAGCGTGGGTAAAGATTTATTTGGTTTTGCACTTAAAATTCACTACATGTATATATTCTTAATTTTATGACAACCTCTTCCCTATCCCTCACAGTAGTCACAGATCTATTAGATTGCAGAAGATTCACATTTAACAAGAATACAAGCTACTGTCTTAGTAGGGGAGCTAGACATGAATGATGGTGAAAAAAGCTAAAAATATTTTATGGCTGTGTAAGTATAATTAGGTAAATCTTTTACAGTAGTGTTTCATGCATTCAGGTATTTTATGAAGGGTTCCTTACAAATTCAAGCTATTTTTCAGCTTACTGCTCTCTCTTTACACTTACAATTTCATTTCTTTTCTTTGTTGCTAATTTCTATGTCAATCCTTACAATGAAAGTGCAGAAGGAGATGGTCCCCATTAACATATTTGTGCACATTTGTGTCATTTGATGCAGAAATAGCAGTGGCAAAGTATAATATGGAAACTCTCTGCTTTAGGATAAACTGAACAAACTTGACTTAATATAAACCAGCTTTTGAATGTACTATATACATTACTTTCTAGATATAGAAACCAATATACCAGGTATCTATCTCCTTTTTTTTAAGATTACAGTAAAAACAATCATGGTAGCACCAATGATGCTGAAACATAAATGTTTCAAACTTATTTCATTGTTGTATTGCAATTACATACTGTGCTTTTTATTTGTTTAGAGAGTTGTAAAGATAATTTATAATGTATTCTCTAACTAGGCTGGATATTTGAATATTCTGAGTTTCTCAGCCTGTAGTCACAAGAAAGTACTTCATGGCAACTGTACACTTGAGATAATGCTTTTCACTCTTCCAGATCTAATTGTAATGGACTTCAAGCTGAAGGAGTGGTACAACCTCAAAAAAGTAGAGGACAGAATACTTGGGTTACAATATAGAGCAAAAAATTGAAATACAAATAATCTTTAAATAGTATTACAACTAGTCATAATTCTCCAGGTAACGCTGTAAATGTGATGATCATTGCAGATATGCAATGCACAAATACAACGGAAGAAGACACTAGTGAGAATTATAATGATGATCTATTCTGTTTTTTCAAACCTTTTGAAGATAATCCATACATAAGTCTTTCATAAAAGCATTGACACAGATTAACTACTCTTCTCATTAAAAACATTTCACGATGGATATTCAGCTTAGAAACACTGCTTACCTTAACTTTTTCTTCCAATCTTCCTAAGCGTAGGCTGCCTTCTATAATTTTCTTGAGAACACCATGATTCTCATTTTCCAAACATCTGGCCTGGAACCATGCAGTATACAAAGCTACATGTGACATTCTGTTTGTCAGGGCAGACAAAATGCATACACTGAGGGAGACACAGCAATTCCATTTTAAACTCCAACAGTCTGAAGAACCAACATGGACAAAGAGTCCTGGAAATTATTCTCGTAATGGCTCATTAATAATTTGTCAACTGACAATTCAACTGTGAATACTGTGAAGCAGTATAATTCTGAAATGAAACATACTGTAAACCAAACCAATTCTGTGGCTTTTTCTACACATGTATGTATACGTAGGGATCCCATTTTTATGCATGAGATTCATCCTTTGGGTCACATTTAGCAATGTGCTCTCAAACAAACCCTTGAAATTAGTAGGGGTTCAGGCAGGGATATTAATATGGTATGCTTAATATTTAGAAGTAGATATCCCAGAGATTAAGATCCAAGAATCAGTTTCCCCCAGTTTCTAGGAGACATTTACTGTGGCCAGTTTCACAGTCCTGAAGTCCAGTTTGTAGTGGACAAGAGTTGTGTCACCATAGTTCTTCTAGAATTAGTAATTAACTGCTCTATCTTTTTATCCACTGCTGATGACAACCTTTGTCTACTACCCAAACAAGTAAAATAAACTTTATTTTAACAAAGTTTTGTGAAATTATTTCGTATTCAATTTGAAGACAAGAGTATGAATAGGAAAAATCATAATTGTGCCCAGTATCTTATAAAAGAAACAAAATGAGCTTACAAAAAGCCCAGAAACCTCCAAGTCAGGCACTTGCACTAAACAGAAGTTGTTCCAAAAGTCTCAATCAGCCTGTCAAAATGACTGCTAACCAGTAAGAGCAATAATATGCATATGCATCCATATGCAGAAGGTCCATACAGATCACTTCAAGGATAACTGTCCACCCTTAGACTCAAAACCAAATATTAAAATTTTATGATTATGTGCTATTTTTAAGTAGCTCAACATCAACTTCTAAAATTAGGTTAAAAAAATCTTTTGCACTTTATATGTGCCATTGCAGACCCTAATGCTCATATGAATTAAGGTTTAATTATATTACCTCCAGAAATAAGGGTAGTTGCTTTTAATTACTCCTCTAAGAAAAAATATTTCACTGCTCCTATCCTATTTGCTAAAGTACACTTAAATAGAGCTAAATCCTTAAACTGGAATTGCAGCTTTATTCTTTGATAATTCAGGTTAATTGTAACTTGTGCCAGTAGCATGATAACTGTGTGAAATATCAATTAAGTCATATTAATTATTTAAAGGTAATTACCAAAAATACAAGATGATCACGTTCCTTAGCTATCTTCTCCACCAGCCCAATAAGGTTTGTTAGATAGTGATGGGCTGTGACTTCTTTTTCCATTGCTTCCTCCAGCTGTACTTGCAGAAGACCTATTTTCTTCTTTAATCGTCTATAAAAGAAGAAGGAAAATCTTTGGATTGGCCTTAAAGAACTTGTATCACATGTGCAAATCAACATGTTCAAGTCTCAAACAATCACACATGCTGTTAAAAATGCACTGGCTCAGAATATTTGCAGTACCAATAGTAACATGTTCCACTTTTTGGGGCTGTTTTTTCATTACAATATGTTATCTGAATAACAACAGTAACAATGATTCAAAAGAACAGTTTGTGCAATGGCTACGTGCTTGTATTTCTCAGGATATGGAACAATAATATTATCTTTTAAAACTATTGCGAACTCATCTCTAAGCAGCCAGGTGCATGAGGAGATCTGCAAACAGAGTAACTCTTATTGTTATCTAACTGCAAATAGTGTATTGCCTACTCATCTTATTGTCAGATGAGTACACCTGATGATTAATTGCTATAGCCAACTACTAAATTAAGATATATTCCTAACTTGCACATAGACACAGAAAAGTGAGCATACAAAGGTTAGCAAAACCTGGTTGACAGTCAGGCCCTCTAGACATGACAGATATGTTTAGGAAACGTTTTTTTGCAGTAGGTAGAAAATACACATTATGTGAAGTCAGATCATATTTTTACAGATATTTCTGTTGTTTTTTAGAAATAGAAGTATTTCTGTACAAGAAAATGATAACGTGATAATACCTGTTTGTCTTTTCAGTTATTTGCATCTCAGTTTCCAGGATCTTCTTGTCAGCCATTAAGTTATTTTTCTCTAAGAGCAATTTCTTGTTTTCAGTTTGCAGTGATGCTATCTTTCCCATTGCAGCTTCCACCTCACAGTGCTTTTTCTCCTGCTCCTGTTGTAAAGAGCTGCAAAAACCAACAGTGTAGAACAGCTATCATGTATAGATCAGCATCACTAAAATGATAAGTTACAGGAAGATACCCATGTTGAAGTTATGAAATAAGATGCAGAGAGTGCTCAGTGTTCACTAGTGACATCAGAGAGGTATTACAATCTCAAATCAAAATCATGACTAAATTATTCAAGTAATTCCTTCTGACTGAACTTTATTTAAATTATCATATTATGCAGTACAGATGTAATCCCTTAGTGCTTCTATTTTTCAAAGAAATTACTTTCAATGCCAAAATACAATGTCTGAGGGCTTCTCAGGATGGCACTGTACTATGAAACAGGAACCTGCACTATCCAAAGGCTTGAAAACATAGGAATTTATGGAATGTCTTCACAGAAACATTACTCTGCAGATTATGCTGCCCAGCAGCACTTTTGAGTTGTGCTGTTTCATGCAACCTTCATGTTGTAACAACTGAAGAAACTCAGAACTTCTAGTTCAGAAATTCAGGATTCTTTAGACATGTTCCAAAGATGGGAACACAAGAATGAGAATGTTTTATATACAGTATTGATAGAATCAAATAGATTTGACGAAGATGGTATTTTTAATGCCTCCTCTTCTGCTATTTAAAATAGTATAATTAGCAGTAGGTACTTTATGGTAAAAACACTTCTACCAATGTTTCTAGAACTGGGATTTCCTTTTGTAATTTTAAAGATATCTAAAAGCTAATACAGTATTTTTTAAATACTTCTTTCCCTTTCTTTGTGCTTTGGTAGTTGCCTTCTTGGATTACCAGCATCAGTTTCCAGTGGCCTCCTACCTACAGAATGCTATGTGCTCTGGTCATGTGCATTTGCACCAAGATTTCTCTGTGCACCATATGTAAGCTCATACCTTTTTAAATCATTCACCAAAGCCAAGTGCTCCTCTGCTGTTATTCTGCTATCCATTTTGGCTTTCAGCTCTTCACATGTAGAACACAAAGCTTTTAGCTGCTTCTGGTACTCTGTTATTTCTTCCTCTTGACTCTGTTTCTTATCTTCTAAGACTACTATTTGTTTGGTCAACTTTGAAACTTTTGGAAGGAGAGGAAAAAAAGTCAACTGTGTACAGCAGAACTAATTCAGCCACTAGTGAAACTTCAACAAAATCATGAATACCTTAATTCCTAGTTGTTTACAACATTATGTAACAGAGGATTTGTCAGTTTATGTTTTAACAGTTTGGACTTGATTTTTGGCTGTCTCAAGCAACTTGTTTTGGAAAAGTGCAGGAACTTCAAGAGTACTTCTTTTCAGGGCTGTAAGCTCATTGAAATGTCATTTTACTCTGAAAAATTCTGGTTCAGTTTAAAATACTCTTCAATTATGCAAGTGACTGTATTGCTGTTTAACAGTTCTCACTTTTTCAGAAGTAAATCAAAATGGAATATTTTTTTAGTGTCAATAGGTGATAATGACATTTTTTTTTCAGTATCAGTTGACATCCAGAGATTGATCTCCTATTAACATGACCTACATTCAAGGACACTTTTAAGGCACATTATAAAGTTGCAAAAAACCCCCCAGTCAAGCAAAACCAAAACTCCACCAAGCTTGCCAAAACAAAAACTAACAACAGAAAACAAACAAAAAACCCTACAAAAATTGAAGCCTGCAGTACCATCTTTAGTGTAGTTCAGATGACTAGCAACTCAAGCACTTTTACCTTCTTGAACATGCTGTCTGTGACTATCTTTTGCTTTAGCTTGTTGAATTTTGAGTTGCTCCATCAACAATCCATTCTCTTCCAAGACCAGCTTGGCCTGAGTTTGCAGCAACTCCCTGCAGTGATAAATGGTTTGTAAATGAAATATAACTCAAATATTATGTCCAAAGAATAAACACAACTGATTTTCAACAGTGTAAACTTACAAAACCATACTTGAATCTCCTTAAAAAAACAATTAAAAATCCTTATTGAAAGCAGTATCAGGACCTGAGGTAACCAAATCTATACAGACACTAACACCCATATTTCTGCCTCATTGAAAGTAGGCCTGTGCCACTGGGTGAATCTGCAGGACTTAAGATTATGGTGCATGCTGTCTCTTCCAAAGTTCTCCTCATGTAGACACTGTGTCATCTGAGCCTTTGGATGCAACTACTACCTGTGTCATGGGTGCAGGAAGAATTTTACTCATAGGGGATGCTGTTCCAAAACCTGTTACACTGGTTAGGAATTATCTTCCATTTTCCACGTTCAGTTTGTTTATGGTGAATGAATACCCAGCTGTTGTTCAACACTATCTTGAGTATCATAAACACAACATAAGAATATCTTGTGTACGCCATGTCTCCTGTTCCTGCTGCACATACAGAGAGCAACACTGTCCTTTTCCAGCCTCTGTTCTGTGAGAAAGGCCAATCTGCCTAAGCTCCAAATAAATTAGGTTCTCCATTTCCTTGGCTACACCACAAACCTTTTCAGCTTTGGTTCTCTGTACCTAAATATACTCTCTACAAGGGATTTCCATCCAAGGAAAACCCCCCAGCCGAGAGACTGCACTCAGCTGCACCCTTCTTCCTCCTCCTCCTCCCAGCCACAATTTTTGTCTCCCAAGTACCATCATTCCCATCTCTTAGGCAACAAAGAGGAGAAAATTCCGTAAGAGATAAAAAAGAAAAAAACAAGGAAAAATCCTAACCTCCAACAACTACTTAACTTCATTTTGTTTACATTGTTTCACTTCTCAAGAACATCAAATTCTTCTAATGTCACATTTCAATGCTATTTCTTATTAGTGGGAAACTGATGTCATTGGCATACTGTAAAAGTATGTGAACTGCAGTATCTAGGACAGAATTACACGGGCTTCCAGTGCAAAACTCCACATTCATATTTCATCTTTACTCCAAAATTATTCCAGGCGTTGCAGATCAGCATTCTTCCAACATGATAATCACAACCCTATTAACTCTTCAGAAAAACAATGTTTGAGGACAAAAAAAAAATTTCTTTAAGATCTGGAATTTTAGAAGTTTGCATGAAATAAAAATTATTTTTTTAACTCTTAAATTAATTTCTAGTAATATAACTTGCCACTCTGTAGGAGTAGTGAAGTTATTTAATTGCTCATGCAGATCTGCATTCTCCTTCACCAACTCTTCAACTCGTGCTTTAAAATTCTTCATATCCTCCTGGAAGTCAAAGGATTCCATATAAAATTCTTTATAATTGTTTTGCTTTAATTTTTACATCAAGAAAAATTTTTATAAGTACACATGCTTAGGTGCCTTCTAGTTCTTGTAACAGTATTTTCTCACTACTCATCTATAATTCAGGTGTGTGTATTTGATTTTTGAATTGTTTCATTAATCTAGTAATATTTTATTAAAAACAATACTAATATTAAACCACATTTTTGCAAGTTGTAGACCCTTATGAAGTTTAAAAAGCTGAACTCATGAAATTACTAGATGATACTATCCATTTTCAGTAGAAGTGACATGGATTTGAATATGGTAAGACAACACAGTGAATTTACAGTAATATAAAAACCCTTACTGTTTTCTGCTTATTTTATGGCTTAATTTTTTGATGGAAATAAGTTTATTTTTAAAACCTAGTAAAGTTGTACTCAGAAGCAAATAGCTATTTTTCAAAGATTCAGTGACAAAAAATACTTCTAAAAAGCAAAAAGAGTCCCCATTCTTTTAATACCTAGAAGTAAGTATTCTTCTACAACAAAACCCACCAGCACCTGCAAGAACAGCTATACAGAGCACTGAGTTCCCATTATGAGTGACAGTCACAAATTCTTTCTACCACTCACTAGTTTCTGGTTTGCTCTATTTTCAGAGCACATCTTACATATCTCAGTGTAGTGCATGCTCCTAAATGTGAACAGGCTGACAAAAACAAGCAAGCCAAGTAGGATAAGGCAGCACAATAACTATGCATGGAAAAGTAGAACAAAGTCACTTTCAATTTTAGGCAGACAACAGCACTGGCAAATCCCTTTAAAAAACTCAGTAATGTATTTCTGCTTTAGTGTATATTTTTTCTAAATGGCAACTTGCCTCATGTTCAAGAATAAAACCTTCCTTTTCTCTTATTCTATCTTCATATGCCAACAGAAGAGGTGACAAATACTTCGTATCCAACTTGGAAGAAAATTAAAAAATAAATACATGTAAATTAATTACAAACCATAATTTCATCTGTATATTTTACTTTGGCTACAGATTATTCATTTGAAAAGCTGTTAAAGGGGTTTCATATATGACTTGCAAACTAAAGTGCAAACTAAATACACAAGCATGCAGACCACTGTATGCAGAACAATGCTGCAGAAACATTTCATAGTGCTGTGTTAGGAGCAAGCTTTGGAAAGGAAAAGACTGCATGCTTTACTTGCATCTTTCTTCTAAAGTGCAGTTTAAATTATCACTATATGTAACACAGCAGATATGGATGCAAATGAATACCAAACAAGATTCAAACACTATAGTGAATGCTACTGCAAAAAAAATTATTCCAGATTCATTAGCAAGTGAGAAAGGAATTTCTACACTCTCAAATCTGCATCTTTAAAGACTAAATACATATGTATGTGATTATCGTCTCTTTTGGCTAAAAAGCCAGAGCAGGAGAACTTCCCCATTCTGTACAGTTCTCAGTAAGAGTGAGGAAGGAAAATGTCACATCTGATTAGTATTCCACACAGAAATTGTTTTACATGTTACAAATGCATTCTCTTTCACAGACTATTTGCCTTCCCCTTGTCAGAAATTCATAGGCTACTACTGGATCCATGACCATCCCTACAATCAGAAATATCCTGTTTTCTTTTAGTACAATCCTAAAAAGAGTAACAGCAAAAGATTAACAATTAAGGTTAACAATTAAGCAGTAGACCTTGAAAGCAAACTATATGCTAGACAAATCTAAAGTGAAGATGGCATTTATGATTCTCAACATAACAACACTTTTCAATAGTTCAAAGTTGGTGACTGTGTGCAGTTTGTAGCTTCCTGCTACTTCCAGCTCAACTGAACTACACACATTCATGACAAAGTTCTGCCATACACATTTTTCTGCAACAAAAGAAATGTTTATAATATTCTGCTAGTATGTGATAGTCCAGCAGAGTAATATCTGAATACTTTTGATTGCAGTAAAGAAATTCTACTGCTTTACTTAGAGAGGAATGAACAGTTAAGTGAAAATATTATCTGACTTACCAGCCATGGTGGTTGTGGTCCTTTCATGGGCAAGCTTTTCAGCTTTAGATTCTAAAGTAGATATTTTAAAAGATACTGACATTACTTCTTGCTTTTTGAAGTACCAGCAATTTTCCACTACAGTCACAATTATCACCCCAAACAAGTTTATGCTTTTATTACTTGTGTTGCATAAAATAAAATTGAAAGCTCAGTATCTTACTGATACAAAATGATACTGACTTCTTAATATTAGACTTAATGATAAATGATTATTTTGAATTATTTTAAATTTCAGAAAAAGCCTGTGCAATTTGCAGATTTTATGGCAAATCTGGAGAAAACAGTTATAAAAACTCAAAGATTAAATAACAGACAGTGGGACATTTCAGTAAAAACTGCCTTGATAACCAAGATTCTCACCTCTTCTTGGGGCAATGACCTGAATTTAGTTTGATAGCGACTTAATTCTACATTTAAACGATGGACCATAGCTCTCAAAGCATCATTTTCATCTACCAGTTCTTGTGCTTGTTGTCTGAGAGAAAGTAATTCTGTTGCCTCCCCTATTAAAACAAATATCCAACAAGAAAGTTCCATTAAAATTCAAGAAATGTTCACTACAATTTGTTAATTATAATGAAAAAATATAAATAAGCTAGAATAATAACCAATAATTTATCTCAAAATACTGTTATGGAAAAATCTCATGAAAAAGCAAAAAGTCTATTATATTTCAAACAATAAGTAATTTTTTTTTCTTATCATGTACTTATTCCTTGACAAAACTTCTACAAATGTAGAATATACTGTTTGGAAACTACTTCTTCTGCTTGCATACTTGCCTAAATCAATGACTTGAAACCTACTGCTAGAGGAAAAAGTTGTAAGAAATCAGAAAAATCTAAAAAAGGTAACTACAGAATAGCTTATATATTTCTCCCACCTTCTCTATGTGAGTTCTCTGCAGCTTCTTTAAGTCTTCTGTTTTCTTTTTCTAGTTGTTTCAGCTTTAATTGCTGTTCTTCTATGTGCTGTTTTGTTCCCTCAAATTGCTGGACCATAGTTTGGTATGCCTTGTTCAGAGACCAGTTTTCTTGTTTTAGTTCTCTGAATTTTTCTTTGCTTATATTTTCCCATACTTGCCTTGCCCGAGCAGACACATCTGTAATGCCACAGAAAAAGGTATTTATTTACATGGTATCCAGACTGGAATAGGAGTTTCAGCAAATTACAATCCTTTTTTTCTAATATTAACATTATATATAAGTCATACTTTAAAATATCTAAATCAGCTCATGGCTCCCAAAAGATAAGACCAGAAAAAACAAAAAAAAAGTGGATTTGGAAAGAGAGCTGTGGAGTGGCTGCAAGTTCCCATCTTTTCTCTCAGACATTAGAAACTTCCTTCTTTTAATGGAAAAGGCAGTGTCAGCAGATCTCTCTCTCCCAAACATCAGTGACTGGAGAGGTAAAAGTGAAATGCCCACTGCAATTAGGAAAGTGCTTGTGCCCTGCATGGACTAGTCAGTATTTTCGAGCCCTACAAATTTTAATCACCCATGCAATGAAAGATTTACATTCCTTCCCACTGAAGAGCTTCAGTGTTACTGAATAGAAGTTACTGAACAATTCCTACAAAAGTAAACTTTCAGATTATCTGCTAAACTGTGGATATATTGTTGCACCAGTAATAATGTATCTCACTCCAGGTTTTCCTTTCCATCTGTAATGAGTAAATAGCTGAAATGAAGGCAGAGATTTTAACCTTACCAGCACAATCTAATAGCATACAGGCATTGATAAAACTCAGTAGTTCCTCAGAATAGGATATATATGAAACCCAATACAGAGCTATCTCCTGTACTGATGATGTGTAACAACTTCATGTGTTTAGTAATACCTCAGGCAATTCTGGCCACTGTTAAATTCCTGTGAAAAGGCATAAGATACCTGGACATACACAAAACCCCATGAACTCATAATTGGCACGTATCCTGTCATGAGACACACAGAGCTCAGTACTGTGCCTGAAGGTGTCAGGTGGATCCAGAAACACACAAATAAGCTGATGGCAGACCATGTATCTCAGGACTCTGTGTTTACCATTTCAGTAGCAATAGGATACTTAATAATGGTGACATCTTCTAGTGTACATTGAACTTAATGTATTGGAGAGGTCCAATGTGACTAATTTCATTACATCATTTCACAATGTTTCATTTACTTTAGACCTCAAAAGTCACTCACAGTGGAAAATAAAAACAAGTCTAAACCACCTAACCTAAAAAGCCTGAAACTACTGTTTTTATACATATCACAGAGCACTTTCTCATCTCCTGCACAGGAAAAATACTTTCACACGTGCAAATTAGGCTTAGAGAATATAGGCAGGAAAGTGTGTTTTCATATACATATGCATATTAATAAAAGGAAAATGTGTAGCAAAGTCATAGAATAATCCAAAGTACCTGGGGATGGTGGAGGTTTGTCATGTATCAGATTTTCAGCTATTAATTTTTCTTCCTAGCAGAGAAATAAAAAAATTAAACAATTTGCTTTAACAGCATCACTGCTGGAGAACTTAAGAAATAAAACCTTTGAAGGAGTTTCTTTTATATCAACAAAATTGAAGGTTGGATTCGCTGGTGATAATATACAACTTATCATCTACTCATCTAGACATCATTTTGTCAATTATCACTGCCATCAGTCACTTGTGGACACCTGAAACTCACTATTATCTTTAGCAGTCAGAAATGTTCTCAAAACTGTTCTTTTTACAGCTGACATGAAAGTTACATAAACAGAAAGCTCCTTGAGGAAACAGGAAGAGTATTCCTCTCACTTGTTAGTTTGTATAGAGTGAGACTTTAGACAAGTCAATTATGTCAGTTTCTAACTGGGTATCAGCAAATCAATTAAAATGTAAAATGATTTTCAAAGTCAAAGAACTTTGTTCTTGTTTTGCTGGAAAAAAAACGAAGTATTTGTACATTTTCAGAAGGTTCTTTCACCAGGAAGAATTACAGTGTCCTTTATGCTAATGTGTTTACTTAAGGTGAAGGTGATATAAAGACTTCCTCCATGTTTTTATGAAACAGCAGTGAAGTTTTGTAAGGATACGCTGTAATGTAATTTAACACATTGATGATACTGAATGACACCAATGACTAAATGAGATAAAACTCATGAACAATTTCAAAGAAAAAGGTATATGGTTAAGAACTTGTAGAAAAAAGTTATGATAATAATGGAAGAACTGACCATTTTCATAAACAATCTTCTAGCAAAGAACTAGCAATCTAGCAAGTTGATCTGAAAAACTAAATTTTTGGTTATTTCTTTTCAAGCTTGTGAAAGCAGCAGATCAGCTCAAACAGAAAACTACAAAAATGCAGTAAAGTCAGACTCGGAATTTGAAAATTAACAGTATGAGCTATCTCTCATTCTCAGTTTCTTTCTTTCACAAGGGATAACAGACAACATACTATAAAAAAAACCAAAAACCCAACAACTTTTGTATGGCCCATTTATATATATAGTTACATTTTTCCTAAAGGAATGATTAGCCATTCTTGTATTCCAAAAGAGAAAGATTCCACAGTGGCAATAAATGTGTTTTAAGTGACTGCAAACTTATCAGCTTTTTATGACACCCTATTTTCCAAAATGTATCATAAATCAACCTTTATGTAAGTCTTACCTTTAAATTCAAGCCCAGATTTTGGTCTTCTGTTAAAGAAAAACAGATCTTTCAGTCAATTAGAACAAAAATTATTTTAAAAATTATTTTAAGTCCATTTTTAATCCATTAAGGGTTCCTAAGGATATCTATGCACACATATTATCCATGCAAATAATGTACTAAAATCCTTCCCAAACCACTAATCTAATTAGATTAGATCATTAATTTGTCACTAACTCTTTCATGGTGTATCAGGACACTAATGTGAGACCTCACTTTACCTCATACTGGATAGTGTGCTGCATCTCTGAGCCAAAGAAGTGTAATTCTGACAGCTATCAAAACCTGCACCGTTTATATGTACAAGAGGGATTAGAAACAGTATGCATGTATGCATATCTATATATATATATATCTCCTATATTTTTTCACTTTAATGCCTTTGCTTCCCAAATGGTTTTATCAAAACAACCATTTTTCATGAATATTGCTCTCTATAAAACTTTTCTAATTACTCCACTGATATAAAACTGAAAAAATGCTGGGACTTGACATGAATAAAATTTAGGAAGACACAATTTTTCCAAAATTGACTCGGTTTTGCTTCCTCTTTCCTATCCACTAGCTACAGAGTGCTACAGAAAAACCTTACAGAATAAGGGCCTTAAAGGCCTCTGTTCATTCCTGTCACTTCTGCTCATTTCCCAGAAAGCATTCTGGGAAATCTTCAGCTAATGGGATGGCAAAAAACAAGTTCTACAACTGTACTTTACAAGACAAGAGTTCACAAAACTTTCCTCCCCACTCCCTCATTTTACAGTGGCTGACAGTTCATTCCACAGTGCAAGCAGACCAATCTTCCCTCTTTATGCAGGTTTTTAACTTTCTGTAACTATTAGGAATTGTGAAGTATTTAGTAGCATTTCTTTAAGTTCCCTTTTAAAAAATGAATATTACAATATAGCATTACATTTATTTTATTTTAAAAAAAATAAAATGGTGTTGAAAGGCATGGCATTTTGACTTAAAGTAAGTTTACTTACCTTCTATTTGCACACTTGACTTATCCACCACCACCTGACACTCAGTTTCATGGGAAGAAACCTCTTTCTCGTCAGCATTAGGAACAGGAGATGGTGGAAACTCTTCCTATGTAAAAGTAAGACAAACCTCTCTAAATCATGGGATCACTGTTAAAATAGTCCATGTACCTTGATATCTGTATGACACAGTGTATTAACATCCCAGCCATGTTCAGAATTGTTCACTCACATTTTAAGATAATAAATTATAAGATTTGCTTCTTCTCTTGTTGTTGTTTTCTTAGGGTTTTTTTGTGTTGTTGTTAAGGGCCCCATGTAAATAAAATCTAAGCCTTACAATGATCAACAGGAGGTTAGCAAGTATGAAGTGATTAGTTCACAGGGCAAGTACTCTCTGTCACCTTATTTGGTTACATGAGTCCATAAAATTATTCTCTATTTGCTTGTTTGCTGTGGTGTACGTAATTATGAGCATCAACCATTTAGCTACTATATCACAGCTGTGAGGGATTAATGAACAATTTCTAACATTATCCTTCCTGGTTTTCCCACTGATCACACACCAGTGTCATATTCTACTCATTCTCTTTTTTTGTTTTTTCCTTCCTCTTTTTTCCTCTTACCTGCTACTGTCTCTTCACTTTGGGTGTTTTTTGGATTCTTCCACATTTTGGGATTTGTGACATATATTCTAAGGCTGATGGCTCTACTCTACTAGTGGTGGATTTTTTTGAAAAGGCATTTTTTAAGAGATCTTTCATTGCCTTTTTACTACTCAGGTACTTCTTCCCGTTTGTTAAATTTTTGTGTCATTTTTCATTTAACTTTAAATGTGCCTTAGGAATATTAACTTCATTGCTAATTGAAACAATTTAAACTTATAGCATACAAAAATTCCCTGGTCTTCAATAAAAGGTTAATTTATTTTGTTTGATTCTGAATCTCCCCATTTCTATATAGGTCTGTGCTCATTAGCACAATACCAAACCGTTAATTAAGCTCTCACCATTTAACAGTAAAATTACTAGTGCTTCTAACAAATCATCTACTGTGTAAGTACCATTCTCAATATAAATTACTGGACATTTCACAAGACTAAATGATGCATAATAATTATACACAATACCAGTGTGCTCCTAATAACCAGAGAGAAAGACTCTGTGACAAGCAACAAACCTACCTTACTCATGTAAGAGTAAACAAATCACAAAAATTAGTATGTGAAATAAATATTGAATACATATCTGAAGAGTCAGAAGAGAATACAAAGCATTTGAAATATTAACATGCATTAATATATTAAAACATGGTAAAGGAACTAATGCATTTAAAAATCTTACCTGTTTACTTTTGCAGGGAACAGCATAAATAGCATTGGTGCTAAAGCTTCCTTCCCTTTTCTCACTACTCTGACAGCTGGACTCTGCCTCTTTATCAGCACCTGAAAGATCTGTGTCCATGTCCTCATCTCCACCATAATTGCCCAATATTTCCAGGGACTGTAGAGGAGATCTGTCACAACCATCAAGTTCCCAGTTAGATCTGCAAAAAGCAATTTAATGTCTGTTTCAGTGCTGCTGAAAAAAAACCCCAACACTAGTAAAGTAGAACCATGAGTCTTACAATATAGACAAGTCCAAAGAGACAGACAGACATCTAAGCTCCTGTTAGCTGTCAACAAGCAATGTAGTTGTTTCGCTTTCGAGACAAATTTCAGGAGCAAAAACGCTCTGGAATGAGCATTTCCCCCAAAGAGAAAAGGGCTTCAATAAGTCCCTTTTCTTCTGCCAATGAGAGAAACAGATACCAAGGGGTGAAAGTGAAAAAACGCCTCTTTATTAACAAAAAATATAAAGATGCCCGCAAGACAAAGAAACGGGAAAAAAAACCCTGAATAAATGCTAAATATTGAAATGGTGGAACCTTCCCCGCCCAAGAAACCAGCAGCAGGCCTCTCGTGGCCGGCGGCTCTCGGCTGGGCGCGGCTGCGGCGGGCAGCGGGCCCGCGGGGCTGTGACTCCCGTGCGGCTGCAGGGGGCGCTGCCGCCCCGGCCTGCCCGCCGCCCTCGGGCGGACACGGGCGGCCGCAGCCCGCGGAAGGGGTGGAGAAGGCGCTTTCTCCGTCCCAAATTCATGGGCAGCCAGTGCCGGTGCCCCTCTGAAACGAGCTGTAGCAGGAAACCTCCGAAGCAGCAAGCCGGAACGGCTCCGCCGGGGGAGGAAGCAAGAGGCAGCAGAAACTCTGCAGCTGTAGCTGAACTTTTTACCTCCTGAAAGCGAGCGGCAAAGCAGCTCCGGTGCAGCAAACGGCGGCGGAGCAGCAGCGGGGCCCTGCGGCAGAGGCTGGGGAGCAGCAGCCCGGCCCCCAGGCAGAGACAGAGACTCCCCGGGCTCTCTCAGCGGCGCTCGCTGGTCCGCGGTCCCGGGGCTGGGGCAGCGCCCGGCGGCAAGCGGGGTTTCCCCGGGCCGGCCGGGCACCACCGGCTCTGGGCTGCCCGACAGAGCAGCAGCCAAAGAAGCTAAGCCGGCAAGCTCAGTCACAGTGCCAAAGCAAGAAAAAACAAACAAAAAAGAAGCAGGCAAAGACCTCAAAAACAGCAGGATCCCTGGTCAGAGATACCGGCTGCGTGTGTGTCCGGTGGAACAGCCCACACCGAAAGGGAAGGGCTGCCTCTCGCCCCAAACTCCCTCCGCAAACCCCGCCTCGGTTCCCGTTCACTGCCACAGTCCCGGACAGCCTGCGACAGCTTGTCCACAGCCAGGGAGCATGGGGCGGGGACAGCAGCCACCCTGGGCACTGCTAAGCAAAACAGACCAAAAACCCCTCAAATGGTATGGGATAATAAACCATCTCCAAGACATAGTCTATGTGTATACTCTAAAACAATTAACACTACCTTTTCCTCTCTACTTTAATATACCAGATTAGAGATAGAAGGTTCCTAATTTTACCAAAAAGACAGTTTGAAATAATAATTTTAGCACAAAGGAAATATCTTACATGTAATTCGATTTCTCAGCTCATCACATTCTGTAAAATTGATCATCATTTGACAGAAGTAGTATATGATTCTACTTAGGACTGTTGTACAATCCATATCTGCCTCTCTTAAGATGGTAAGAGTGACACCACTTGACAAGAAATGGAATAATGATTGTTAGACACTTCAGACTGACTTTATGATGTGGTAAGAAAAATTAAGTAACTGTAAACAGCAGGAGTTTGCTGTCACTCTTTGAGAGATTCCATTTCTAATTTAAGATAACAAATCAGAAAGTATACACTACCCTATTCTGAGCTCTGTGACTGTTGCATATGGCTCAAAACATTCTTGTTCCAAGTAGGTGGCATCACTTTCAGAAAGCGATCGCTGCTGAGGCTGAGGAATAGCAACAGTGCGCCCTGTTAGTGTTGTTGTAAGGATCGCTGCTGCTAGAGCAGACCTGGAAGAAAACAGAATAAACCAATAAAGCAATACTGATGCTTTCTCTGTGCTCCACATTTTGTATCTTTTCCTTTGCAAAATGTCTTCGCTATTTAATCAAAGCAAAATATTCACAGTTAATAAGCATAAATACCACTGAATGCTATGGGACTGGTTATAAACTATTACCTCCCAAAGTAAAGCACAAAATGGGAGAAGCTATTGTAATGCAGCTATCCAAGAGTAAGGTACAGTATCTATTGGTTTTCCCAAATCACATGCATGAAAATCATGGAATATACTGAGTTACTTCCCCAAAATTCACATCAATAATTTATAGTATTTAGCATTCACTTTAGCCACAATACTACCTAGTGTTGTGTTGAAGAGGTCTTCCATGTCCTGCTATCTTGTCTCCATTATTCCCTACTCTAAACCTTTTCTGATGACTCTGAAGTTGTTAAAGGTTGGCACACTGCAAACCAGGACAAGCAAACAAAAGTGCCCACTTGTGTGATGCTGTGGAGTACAGAGAAGGGTATGATGAAAGGAAAAGTAACTAGTGACTAAGATTAAAGCACTGAAATGCTGAGAACTTGAGGCCAAAAAGGAAGAAGAAATTAACTAGAATTAAGCAGGAATGTTACAGACACTAGAAAGACCATGGCAAACAACCAGAATTTAACTAAACGCAGAGAAAACAGAGAATAAAATCTGTAAGAAACTACAACCTAAAAGAAAAATAATTTATATTTTCCCAATCCAGCGTGTTTTTATTACATGACAGTTTTTAAAGTTCCTGGTAGCAAGGTTTAATTTATGTTTTTCTAATGAGCTCGTATTTCCTGACTCACAGTACTAGTGCTGCAGTCCTACACTCTGCTGTAGCAGCCAAATAAAAAATTATGCTAACTTTAAATAGTCCACTTGTCTTTAATTGACTCAGGTAAGTCACATGTTCATAACAGTTACTGTCCTGAATATTTACCAAGCTTAGGGGTGGGGAAAAAAGTTCAGAGTGGGAAACTACCCCCCTTAAAAATTTAAGTTTTTTATGAAAACTTGTGTAAGTATTGTAATGGCATGCAATTCTTCTAATCAGGCTTTTCTAGTATGCTACAATGCTCGACAAAACAACAAAAAATCTAGAAAAAATATTTAAAAAAAAATAATCAAAACATACCTTGGCCTTTCTGGAGAAGGGTTTGGACTACGAGGGGGAGGGGTGCGGGGAACTGCAGGTTTAGGAGCTATGGTAGCAGCAGGGACCAGGCCATGAGCTATATGTTTCTAAATGATTTAAAATAAAATTAGTTGACAATGACTTTAAGGATCACAATGAAAAAAACACAGAACTGAATGTGCACAGAAACTCACAATGCAAAATAATACAAAAAGGAAGAACAATTACATGCAATTAATGTAAACAGAAGACATGAAATGGCATTTCATTTCCCTTAAAGTCAGAACACCATGTAAAGCTGGCAAGTTCATTTAACATTTATGAACAGCTGCTCTTGAATGTTAGAAATGTAATTTACATGAGACCCATGAATGTGTTTTCTATCCACTATATCGCAATTTGCAAAACCAGAATTTTAACTTACTTATCTATTTCCTATATATATATATACAAGAAAAACTGGACTAGAAAATAATTTTTTTCAAAATATCTGAATGCTGCTTCAGAGTAACAATATTAGTTCCTTTCTTCTAGAGTTTGTCAATCCTCAAGTCATAGCCATATGAGATGGAAAAAAAACCCCTACCACTAAGTCTTGCAGCCAAAGGTTCAACCTTAATTAAAAACACCTCAAAAACTCATACATTTTTTCATCAGCAAGCACAGTAATTATTTTTTTTTAATGGTATAACATTAAATACCACCTCAGAAAAACTGGGACCAGAGTTCCTACAAAAGTACTGTGAAGGAAACCGTATAATGGTGGAGGTTGGAAGGGAGCTCTGGAGATTGTCTAGTTCGAGTTCCTGCTCAAAGCTGGGTCAACCACAGGAGGATTGCTTGGTGTCCTGTCCAGTCACGTCTCGTGTACCTCCCATCTGGTCCAGTGCTGAACCACCTCACAGTATTTTATTATTATGTTTAAGTTGAATTGCCTGTGTTTGAGTTGGTGCTCATCACTTCTTGTTCTCTCTCCAGGCATCAGAAAATACTATGCCACAATAAAGTCCATCACCTTTGGTAGATGTTACTTTTTTATGCAGTGAAACAGACTAAGGTCTTGCTATTTCTGCTACAGAGCTTTTTTCCCCCAATTATTATTTAATTCACTTCTCCAACAGGAGAACAAAGATGCTGACAGGGAAATATTTCTGGTTTTACACGAAGGCACATCAAATAATTGAATGATGCATTAAAAGACTGTCTTTTTACTCAGTCTTGCAAATGAACTGCTCCCTAATTCTGCATGTCTGTCTGGCATGACGATTTCGTTTACTACAGGCTGTTGACCGTAGATACGACTACGACTGACCCTACTGTGACTACCAGCTGAAGAAAAAGTCATTCCACGGTAAAAGTATGACAACAACAGAAGATCAATACTTCCACTCTAGTAATAAAAAAAAAATTCAGTTCGTTCAAGTACGTTGGAAGAGAACACCCGCGCAACTGCTGACAACCCTACAGCCTTTGGCTGCTCTGAGCCTTGACCAGAACTTTTTATCAGTTCTCTTCAGGGCACCGAGCGGGTGCTCCGGGCAGGGCCGCAGGGCCAGGCCCGGCCAGCGCTGCCCCAGGGCGGCCGCGGGACTGCCCCCGCCCCGCCCGAGCCCGGCGGCTCTCAAGAAGCCGGGCAAGCCCGGGACTGAGGGAAAGGAACGCACCATCCCCCGGACAGCACTTCGTCTTTGCTTGGGCTTCATTTTTCTCTCCGATTTTCACTTTGAAGTGCTCAGGGACCACCGGCATAAGCCGCAGGGCGCGGCCGCCTATCCCAGAAACTACCCCTCGTCCCACTCGCGCAGAGAACCCGGCTGTCCTGCTGTCCCCACTCACGGTAACGAAGCCCCGCGCTAGGCGGAGCGATACTCACGAAGGGGCCCCTCCGGCCTCTCCTGAAGAGGAACGCCATCAGGACGGGACGGCTCCAGCCACCGCCTGACGGCCGCCTCGCCGCGTCGGACGCTTCCCGTCGCGACCCGCCTGGAAGCAAGGCCGCGGCGGATTGGCTGCGGGCTCGCCCTGCTCCAATCAGCACGCGCCTTACTCAGCCCCGCTCGGCCGTAGCAACCTGCCCGCCCCTCCCGCTGCTCGCCCGCCCGCTGCTCTCGCTCCGGGAACCTCCTGCTCTGAGAACCTCCCGCTCCGAGAACCTCCCGCTCCGGGCCCGCTGCCCGCCCGGCCAGGGAACCCCCGGCTCCGGGAGCCCCCGGCTCCGGGAACCTCCGGCTTCGGGGAGCTCCCGCTCCGGGCCCGCTGCCCGCCAGGCCCGCGCCTGCCGCGGGCGGCTCCTCAGGCCGGGCTCCCGCCCCTGTGGCCTCTCCCCGCTCCTCGGGCTGCGGCTCCGCTCCGTTTCGGTGAGCGCTGGTAGCGCTGCGGCTTGTCCTTATACCTGCCTTGGCCTCCTCCAAGGCTGCCCATTCGCCTTAAAGTCAGAATACCGCGTAAAGCTGGCAAACCTGAAAATAATCCTTCCTTTTAATAATTGGCCTGGAGACTTCCACCAGCTGAGGGATGGAGGTGCCTCTGGAGTTGGCTTTGCAATTCAGGAAGATTTTCTTCCAGCAAGGATGGATGAAGGTATGGAAAAGGCACTGTGGGTTTTTCACCGTCTGTGTGCTTTGATTCAGGCGTTTTTCAGATTAAGTGGTAAAGCTGAGACTGGAATTTGCAAGCCAATGCAACAGCCTGTATTAAAGTGAACAGAGTTGCTGGCCTGTTTTGATATGTGTACCTTAACTGTAAGGAAGCTTGAGGAAGGAGATAGTGTCTCTTCCAGAATATTGCATCCTAAGTTTATGATTAAAATCTGTAAGCTTGGAACAGGTTTGTAAAATGTGTTGCTGTATTTCCACATTCCTTTCTAAGGTATAACTGCTACTGAAGGTGGATTTTAAAGGAGGTCTGATGACAACAAAAGCAAACTCTCCTGTGACAGCAGGATCTATAGTTGTCCCTTACGGGCATGTGATTGGAAATGAGAAGTGGAGAGGGTCAGAGGTAGCCCAAAGGCTACAAGGTAAGCACAAACAAATTGGAAGAGGAAAAGCAAATCAGGATAAACACTCCCCTCTATTGCCCAGTAACAAGAATGGCTGGACTGTGCTTTACTCCGTGTCTGACTGGTCCCATATTTGTGGTACATATTTGTGTGGACTGTGTTAGCAGGCTGAAAGATCCCGTTTGTTTGTCATGTACCTGTGTGATCAGCTCAGCTTTCACACTTGCAGAGCGCAGTAGGGAAGCAGCAGAATCTGCTGTTGTGGGGCTTTTGGATACACATCTCCACTGAACTCCCTTGAATTTACATGTGTACTTTGCTACTGTCTTGCTGGCACAACAAACTAAATTATGATGATCCCTCCAGAAAAGCATGTGATATTTTTGTTCAAGTCCAGAATTTACTGAGCAGCTCTAGTACTTTTAAATCTGTAGATTGGAACTGCTATTAATTTGCATTACTAAAGACATCACACAGTAAGTCTGGATTGCTTGTAATACATTTACTTAAAGGGGAAAAAAGGCTTTTTATAATGTTCATTATGAAGTCACTAGAATTACTGACACTTTAGGAAGGCTGTGCTGTGAAGTAATTATTAGTATATTTTTAACTAGTGTATTTTTTCTTCTAACAATCTCACCCTAAGGGAAAGTTAGACTCATCTTTGAAGATGGCTTGGGACTGGTGGACTTTCATCTTCCGAACAGGACTTGCATTTTACTTATTTCTGAAGCAGATTTGGTTGCAGGGGATGAATTCAAACGAAGATTGGTTAAGTTTAGAAATGTAAGTGCTATTTAAAGAGAAAAGTGTTCAGCTGACATTTGTTCAATGGTTCTGAAAACGTTCTTGTGGTTTGTTGTTTTTGTTTTTTTTAATTCCATTGGAGCTGACCTTTTGGGACAATTTTCACCTGAAAACTGAAAAATTCTGCAGCTGTGTGATAATGATAATGCTGTATTAAACCTCAGTCCTGTTGCTGCAACTTGCATTCTTCCTCTGATTTGCTACTGTTTTCATGCTTGAAAGAATTTCTGTCTGTTACACTGCATTAACTTGTCATTAACAAGGGTTTTTTTCTAATATCTTTTTCCTTTCAATACAGACCAGCAGTCTTAGGGGAATTATAATTGTAGAGAAAACCCAAATCAGTGATCAGTACTACCTAGGAGTACAAAAACTTGTTGTACTCGAGCTTGGAATGGTGTTGCTTCCTGTGGCAAATCAAGGAGAAGCTTCTCAGCTAATTATTCAACTAGTAAGTTTCTGTGTTATATTAAAATATGGGATGTATAGGAAAGCTGATAGATCTCCTCAATGGTCATTTCAGAGAGAATATATAGGATATTAAAGGGACACATCATTTGAATGTAAGGAATAAAACTTCTGCAATAGTGATACAGTAGTATAGTTCAGTGGAAAGAAGGCTCACTTGGGAACAAAGAAAAAAGGCTGAAGAATGTCATCCTGGATTTTTAAAATGTAATCTTGTACTGAGGTACCACTGGGTAGCAGTAGGCAAATGTCATTGTCAAAATCGACTTTCAATTTTGCTTTCTCTGAGGCTAGGAAACTGTTTTTAAATGGTTTCTTTTTCCCTTTCTCTGACTGTATCAAAAAGGTGACAAAAATTATTGTTTTCATCTGTTGTTTCTATTAAAATTGTTGGTTTCCTAGTAAGATTTTGTCCAACTTCATCCAATAAGCAGAGAGCTTGTTTTGAAAACTTCCTAGTGATTGAAGTGTTTGGAGATGGGAGGGTTTGAAAGGCTGGCAGCAGCGCAGGCTGTGCTGACGGTTCCCTTTGGCTGCAGGTGCGGGAGCAGAGCCGGGATCGCACCAACCCCTTCCTTGGCAAGCAGCGCACCCAGCTGCCAGAACCCGCAGTGCTCCAGGCGGCGCAGCACATTCCCGGAGTCGGGAAAACGAAAGCTCTGCTTTTACTGCAGCGCTTCGGAAGCATCCATCGGCTTTGCAACGCGTCCCTCGATGAGCTGGAGCAAGTAGTTGGACAGACAGTAGCACAACAAATTTATACTTTTTTACACTCCTGACATGCACGCGCGGTGGTATTTTGCAAAACGGAAATTTGGGGGTTTTTTTCTTCTGAATTATACATTTTGGTTTTAATAATCCCATATTATGTTAATTTCTGTAATCATGGCTAGCAGCAACTGGACTCTGATGCTTCTTTTTTACATCTGCTCTGTTCATATAGATCAAGCTGTGCAGATTGCCTTGGAAAGAAGTCTGTAAAGGATTTTGCATCCTTTTGTTCCTATCTGGAACAAAAAAACCCAAGAAAGCTGTCTTTTTCAGCATCTGTGTTAAAAAATGGAAGAGTAATATGCTCGCTCACTTTGGTCTTCCAGAAAAACACACCATGTGAATACATGCATAGTAACTTCTCAGTAACTGGAAATATGTTACATGTTTATTAGAAGGTAGCTTATATTGCTTTATAGTAACATCTTTGATTTATAACTTTTTGAAGTTCCTTTGGAAAGTCCTACTGGAACACAGGTTTGACTTTACACTAACTTCTATCTCTGGTCATCCCTCCAGTTCACGGGGTGTTAACAAATTCATTCCCATGGGTCTGATATCCAAAATATTCATGTTGTCCTTTTGAATATAGCTTGGCATCCTAATAATAAATTGCAAAATATTTTGACATATTAATTATAAATTTTAATATGTTAATTATACTATCAATTGTACTATAATACACATTACAAAGAAAATATGGGAACTTTTGAACAAAATCCATAATTCATACTACTCTTCCAGTATTAATATTTTGAAAATTTATTTGTAAAGAGGATTGGTTTTTCTGACATCTTGCATTTTAAGTTATATTCTTATCCTGTTTTCTAAGGGTAAAATTGCCTTTTTCCTTGAGGAGGTGTGTGAAAAGCATCTTTCATACCACTTGGGAGTTCACAGCAGGAAGGCAGCTGAGTAGGACTTTCCACTCCCTTTTGTGGGAGCCTTGGCACCTCTGAAAGGCATCTCTTACACTGGTTACCATGGACAGCAGGTGTACCTGTTCTTTGTATTGATTCTGTACTTGGGATGAAAATTTGTCTGTAACTTAAGACATAATTATTTAATTTAGTGATTAATAAACATCAGAACTGGCAAAAGTACAGAAAAATATACTCTTTTTTTCAGGCAACTAGGGAGTACTTTAAGCTTCTTTATACATGAGTTTGCTCAGATTTTATGCCCTCTATAGTTTTGTCACATTGCTGTGAAGACTGGATTTCACATCTAAAGGCATGTGGTTATTATGTTGCAAGAAAAACACCTTTCCCCTATGACAAAGGGCCATCTGCTCAGTGCATTAAATAGAGAATTAATAAAGAATTAATATTAATGGCATTATAGGCTGAACTCCTGATTTATTGCTAACCTTTCCTTTTTGGGCTTTACAGCAACCTTATACATCCTTGTTTCTACAGTTCCTGTGGTCTGAGCAAGAACATAAGGCCCACACTCATTTCACTGCAAGTTAAGTTAGCTGCTGGCTACCACTCAGTGTAGAACGAGTCTTTAGCTAGCAGACAGAAAACCAGGAGTATTTGTATGGCACCTGAGAGGTCCAAATTTTTAGTTGAATTGAGGGGTGTGTTTTAAATTTGAAAAGCCAAGCTTTCCTAAAGGACAAGTGAGTGTAATGATGGAAAGACTGTTATTCAGGAGCTAAGAGGGAAAGTATTTCCAGAAAGACTATCACAGTGCTTTAAGAGAAATGAAAAGCTGCAAGGGTGATTGGTGTGACTTCACTGAAGGTTTTGTTCCTTGGATAGCAATTCCAGCACACGGGTGAAGTAAATCTTACATGTATGGAATAGTGTATGGCAGGGGTGTGCTTGTGTGTGTCAAAGAAGCACTATGAGCAATACATATAAAGGACAGGCAAGTCACAAGTAACTTAAAACTCATTTTTTTATGTAACCTTTAAAGGGAAACTAGAAATATGTTTACGCTCTTTGTAAGGAAGTTGGTTTTAAACTCTTAGCTGATATTGTACAGGAACTTCCCTTAAAAGTTTCTTAGATCTCTGTAAGCAACATTAGAGAAACACACAAGAGGTATGGCAACAGTAAATAGCAAAAGCCTGTAAATTATGCTTTATCAACCAAGCTGCAGCAGAATCAAAAAGCTACTACTCAATGGCAGCATCTGATTTTTATTCTTAAATAAGGGTCATCAAGATATTTACACCTACTACACAGGAAGTTAAAAATACATGACAACTTTAAAGTTTACAAGATGCAGATTTTCATGTAAATTTTAAGTATCTATCTACTCTGTAGATGGCAATATTAACTAACACTACAGTGTTAGCAGTTTTCAATTAATTTCAGGAAATAGAAGAATCTCAAAGAAACTGACCAGTTATTTTTTGTCCCTCTCCTTACTACAGATAGCTTGCTCATGAATTTTTCCAAGGGCAGGATTTTTTTTTGCTTGATGTAATAGTAAATAAATACCCTGCCACTTAGCACAAGCTCTTCTTTTTTCATATTTTAAAGCATCACTGCAATTTATGTGCCCTTGAATCAATATATTATATTATATCCATTCTGAGATTTGTTTCACAGCTATCCATTTTATCAAGACTAGTGAGATACAAGTCTTAAGGTAAGTAGGTTAAATAACATTTGGAATAAAGCCTCTTTTTAACAATTGAATCAGCAGACATTTAAAATGTTACCTAAATCAGAAAAAGAACAGAGTAAAAGCCTTTTGGAGTTCAAAAGACCTCTTAAATTTTAAGCCTTCTAACTCTCCTCCAGAATTAAATGGCCTATTCAGTAGGCTGCACCTAGTACTCTGAGGAAGCATCTCTGCATAAAAACACAACTCTATGACACCACCCCTTGCTTGGCACAAGAATAGTTTCTCTGAATATTATTCTCTGACCTGTGTTTTGTTAAGATAATTCTTTAAAGTAGTGTTAAGTGATTTATTATTGACTAACCTTTAAGAGCAAAATCATTCTTCCATGTGTCCCCTATTATTTTGAATTCAGCATCAAGTTTGTAATAAATAATTCCCATCCAGCATAGTTACGACTATTTTTATGAAAAATCAGTCATAACTGTATTTTGAAACTCCAAAGGAGTCCAGTCCTCATGTAAGCAATTCTATAATCTACATCTTGTTATTGCATACCTCCCAAACCTCTTCATTCTAACCTTTAAATACTTAAGTTTTACAGTTTCTGCCAGGTTCTGACCATAAGTGGCTCAATGCACAGCAAACAGTGTTTGTCTGAGTTTATACATACACATATGAAGATAAAATTGATCAATATTTTTATCTACATTTTAAACAAAAGTCAAATTAACAGATACTTCTGAAAGACTCAATACAATGAACTTTCTGTATTCAAGAGTGTGAAGGGAGAAAGCTTCTTCTTAGTCTGAGAACTTCCAGCCACAGCTGAAGGAAGGCAGAGTGTACTTGCAGCTTTCTGTCTGTTTTTAGTTCCCCAACTTAGAAAAGGGAGTTTTAGTGGGGCTTTCTTGTTCTGATCAATTTTATCCTCGTCCATGGCTAAACAGATTAAGGAGTATGTCTTCTGCATTCCCATAGAGTAAGTTGCACTCTTGCTATGCTGTAGGAAAAAGAGAAGCATTGTAAGAATCAGTCATCAAAAATGGGTCAAAATTTGGACAATAACAAAAGGTTACTGTGTAAATAGTTTTCCAGGGCAGACTGCAGCAAGCTTTCTGTGCTAATGACATTACTAACTGAGCACAAGGCCCTTCTGAGTGTTGTGATCCTGGTATTTTGCACATACTCAAGGATATACTCTGCAAAGCATAAAGGAATTTGGGAATCTTTTCTTGGGTTGTTAAACATTTATTGCCTTCTAGCATAACTATTTAATGTACACATAACCTCCCTACAAAGCTCAAGGATGTAGTTCTTGCACAGATGTAGAGTCTTGCTGTTTTTGGACAGGTTTTATCTCCATCACAACTCTAAGAACTCTAGTGTGACATTCTCATGGGATACCTGAAAGGCACAACCTTCTCTGTCTTCTCTTAGCTTTGCCCTGAAGCAATCTGGCACTATTCTAGCCTTTTCTTTCCACTTGCAACTTCGAATGGCAGATGTGTAATTCCTTATTTTCTATAAGGAAAACCAATTTTAACAAAACAAGAAAACCTAACAGCAGCAGGGGAACCTTAATAGTTTTTCAGGAAACACTATCTGAGTGTCTAAGCTTGCCAGGGAATGTTAAAAGCATGAAACAGTGGATTTAGCTAAACTACAGGCTCTTTCACACAACTAGTAAGTTATTTAGAGCTTAGTATTTTTTAATCTTGTGATGACTTTCCCTTAGTCTAAAGATTCTATAGTAGCTTAGTAACTGACTAGACAGTTAAAAAGTTCACCAAAATAAATAAGAATACATATAATAATCCATGATCTAATACAAAACATCACAGATCATTTAGAATAACATAGAAAATAAACATAGGGTGTTGGATGTTCTATTTAATTCCATTATTGTTTCATTGTGGTTTTTCCAGTGCTGAACAGGGCAATGCCTTCATCCTCTGGGACAAATTAGGGGAAATAAACTAGGTCTTGAAATTTTTCATGCAATTAATCTAAGTAGCTCCACTACAAAAAATCCCACCACCCAACCATTCCTATGCAGACAGACTACTGTAGCTCGCTAGGTCACAATGGTTTAAACAGATAGTTTAAAACTGAACACACATCTGAAAACTTTATATATTCACAGGTTGAGTGGATATCTGACTACATGAAAGTAAACATTAATCAGGAACTGAAGGCAGGCAAGTGAAAAAACTCTAGCAAATCAAATCTGCAAAACATACTTGTCTCATTACGTACCAAAGATGCTGCTGTGTCCTGGCAACTGATAACCTCAAGCTCCATGGGTTGCTTTCCCACACTTCTCAATTTTTCCAGCACCTCATTCACACCAAGCCACTTGCAATCCATGCCACCAACAGAAACAATGTAGTCACCTTCTTTTAGGCCTGCTGACTGTCAAAAAATTTGGCACAGGTTATAACTTGGAATTATAAAGACATGTAAAATGTTTTTGTCATCATACAGTATCTGCCCCAAAGGCATTTCACTCTCAGATGCTACAAAGCCATTCTCTAGCCACACCTGTGCAACTTTCTCAAGTACACAAATAATCTCTTGAGTTACCATTGATGTGATTCTGCTATACTCAAACGTTGGCTGGTTTTGTGTTCTTTTCACTTTTCTCCTTAAGTAAATGAACCCTGGGTTTTGCTATGCTATTGTCCCTCAGAAGACAAATTGTGCAGTGTTTCATCCTTCTTCTTCATTTTTATTTGTACTTCTGTGGTTACTTCTGCCTTTTCTCTAAGTAAACTGCTTATAACTGCATGTTGCTTTATCACTTTGGATTTTCCCTGAAAGAACATTATAAGCCAATAAAATATTCTTGCCCCTCTTTCCTTAGGCAGACACTACACTTTGCATTCCCTTCCTGATCCTTATTCTTGTTGCTACTTTTTAAAGCATTTATCCCTTCTAACTTCCTGAATAAGACAGGAAGTAACATTTGCTTTTATTATTTGTGACTTGTTAACTATTAAGAATGAACAGAGAAAGAAATCAACCCTAGTTTCATGTGATCTTGGGGATATGGGCACTTTAACAACCTACAGCACATAAATGAAAAACACTTGAAATGCATTCAGATAAATGAATTGACTATACTAATGTACAGAACTCAATAAATACTGCATGCACGAGTGTGGACAAGCTAAAGGTAAATTTTAATGCTTAAGGCTGCAGAGAAATTGTTAATATCACACCAATATACTTACTGCTGCAGAACAAACTGGATCAAGACAATAAACCTGCACTGGTGAGCCTCCTTTTAGACTGAATCCAAGCTCTCCTGCTTCATGGTGAAGGCAAATGGTACGTGGAGCTGTCCATCTCTGCTTGGCTGAGAACACTGTCAGTGGGCCCTGGGGGTAACACAACAGCAGGCACCTTGGGGTTTATTGTCACTTGTAAGCAAGCATTTCTGGTCTTGTAAGTTACACTGCTTTAAGCTCATCTATTGTAGATTTTACTCAGGTTAACTTCCAGCTAATTCCCTGGAAATGCAAAGTCCCATTTCTTGACTGTTCAGTTGATACTTCAAACAGAGTGGGATAGAGGCAACAACCAAGTTATTCCAGGACCTCTGTTAAGCTGTGCAGAACCTTTTGGCTGCATAGGCTGTAAGGACCTATATTACTGTTTTTCAGAGGAGATAAACCAATTCATTGCAAATTCTTATCCTAACCATAACTCCCAGTTCCTTTTGCTCA